CCTTATCCCCACTATGCAATTCACCACTTCGCCACTGCACAGTCACCACTGAAACACCTTAATCAATGTGAACAGTAATGAGAGAAGAATGAAGTTTTCGACATCCCCTACAGTTTAGGATAGCAGCAATATTTAGTGTGAATTTCTCTGCTCGTCAAACTAGCTACTCGAAACAACAGAAACTTGAGAGAGAAAAAGAAGAGAAAGGAAAGATGGGAGTTCCACAGCTTATCTCCACTGCCTGCTGGTCAGGACTCGTGGCTTCACTTCATTTCTGGAGTGGGTGGGGATCTCTTTCTCTCTCTTATAAAAAAGGTTTCTTTGGTTAAAGGAAAAAACAGGTTTATCACCCTTCAAGTTTGCTGATGGAATTGCCTTCAAACCAAATTACAAGACATCATCCCCTGAAAGTATCAAAAAGGAAAAATGTCACAGACAGAAGCACTCCTTTCTCGGAATGTTTTACGTATTATGACAAAACTACTACAGAAAAAGAGAGAGAGAGAGAGACCTGCCGAGGCCCCACTTGTTGGGCGCAAGCAGGTACAACTCCACCAAGGAAGATGCAATTGCATTTGCTCTCCCAAATGACTGGATTCGGCGCAGTCTGCACTGAGAAGTGCTTCCACTTGGGTTTTCTGTTTTGCTCGTGTTGGTGGTTCTCTCCGCTCCCTCCTGCATTGTAGTTTCACGGCAGGAATTCGAACATCCACCTGTGAGGAGAGGCAATGTCCATCCTGCCTTCTGCTTCCCACACAAGAACGCAATACGAGATGATGGGGAAAGGGACCGCTCTTTCAGCGTGCCAGCTGTAAGCCATCCATAAAACTTCCAGTATCTAAACATTCGCCTCCCATCCCAAGTTTCCGTGCCATTTACCCCACGCAGACGAAGAATACCAACCCAGCCCACCCACATCAATTCCATTCCTCTCTAAAGGACTCCGTGAGCAGAACAAGCTGGCTGTTATTATGTATGTGGCACCGACAGCACGCAAAGCTTTAGCTTCCTCTGCTGAAACGATGGGGCTTCCCCTGTGACGAACCATACCACACTTTCTTCCATACTATGCCTTTATACAGGTGTGAGGGAGGAGGTGCTACCCAGCTCCACGTGCCCACCAGGAAACACGCAGCGTGGCACCATCAAAGCAATCTGATGGCTGTGCTGTGCATCTCTCGCGATCACAGCGTCCCATCACCACGACCATCTGACCACCTACGGCTGGCAGGTCAGCGACTCCAGGAGGGACAACATGAAAGGGGGCTCCTCCGACAGCCACCGCGCCCCTCCTCGCTGCCAGCATCTGCCGTTCTAATAGCTCTGCTGCCAAACACTCCCCAAAATCAGACGTGAGCCTGTGTGGGAGAGGTCAGCTGTGTACACAGGCAAAATACAATTATTACAAGCAAAACATTACTGCGATTGAGACTGCAACATTCCACACTTCACCAGTCCTAGGCCAGAGGAGCGCATAAACAAATAATTAACTTGAAGGGTTTAAGTCTGTTCTTCAGCTAAGCACTCGTGCATGATTAACTCTCTGCCGAAGTCCTATCATTTTTCAGAGTTTAAATTCAGTCACTGCTTCTCCCCATTCTAGCAGACAATGCAAAAGGAAACAAAAATTCTAGCAACCAGAATAGCTTAGTAACATTCCACAACAAATACTTATAAAAGCAGGGAAAACTTACATCAGGGACCAAAAAAAAAAAAAAAAAAGCAAATCAAGCATCCTGGCCCTGCAGACACCCGATTACTCTTCAGTGAGATGGGAAGAGCAGGCGAGGCACCCTGCGCTTTCCGTGGCTGTGCTTCACCCCGCTAAGGCCGTCCATGCGCGCCAGTGTCCTTTATCCAGTGACGGGACTGAGAGCTGCGCTCGCGCCTCTGCCGCGGCTCCTCCGACAGCCTTGGCTCTGGAGAGCCATCTGCCTGCTTCCTCCTCCAAGAAAACCAAACCCTGAACACACAGCGTGGCCTTGGGTTCATCGAACGGGCCTGGTGATCATGGCCTGGAGCACAAATAGGTCTTGAGGTCTTGATCTCATCTAAACGTCCTATCGCATACAGTGATGGTGAGCCGGATCCTAAGGCCCCAAGGTCCTCACCTGCCTTTGATCCAGCTCTCCTGACAGAGCATTACGTTGGCTGCTGTTTGGGTTTGGCCTCTGAATAAATGTTTCTGGACTTAATTCTGAAATGCAGATGTGACCTTGAGGATAAGTCCTGTCCCTCAGGGCTGTAACCGCTCTGACAGAGCAGCCCCACTTCCTCTAGGCTAGTGGCAGAGTTTTCATCCTCATCTCGTTTCTCCTTCCTCCTGCAATTTTCACCAACACAACAACCCTTCTGATGCCACCGACGAAGTGAAATAAAATTAACAACAGTAACAATAATACTAAGAGAAAAAAAAAAATCACAAAGATCAAGGAATGCGTGTGCAATTAAAACCCAGAGTAAAATATAATAATAATAATAAAATAATAATCATAACAACATACAATAAAATAACATTATCTTTCCTTTTCATGACACAAGCAGCATGACGCTCTCAGTCCCGAACTGGTGGGACAGGAGAGGAATGCAACAGCGAGAGCAGGGCATTATTTTCCTGCCTCGGACGAACGGGGATGTGTCGACTTTCCGAGAGAAGCGGGGGTAAGGTGCACAGGCCGCTGGGAGATCGCATCCTCATCTAGAGTATGTGGAGCTGGAATGAAGGACAGGCAGGGGAAGAAAACTGTGCAAGGATAGCCCAGGAACCAGAGCTGGCAACCAGGGAGGTTATTTGGTGGTTTGCCAGAAGATAACAGCCTTGTTGAACCATGTATGCAGAGCGAGATCCCTTCTTCTTCCAGGCCAGCCAAGCGCTTGATGCGAGACAACACGTTCGAGCTTGTCTTTCTGTCAGCTTTTCCCACGTGAGAGAATCTCCTTCCTCACTGCCACCCAGGGAACCCATCCCCCACCACCCTGCTGACGAACCTGCTATTTTCCACCGTCTTGTGAAATACCTGAATGCTTCATGCTCTAGTTACAGGGAAATGTAGAGTGGAACCGAGCAGCCAGGTAGACTTCAGCTTTCACGGAAACACGGCAACCCTCTATCAAACTCTTCTCTCCTTCCTTCCAAGCCCACCCATAGACATGGGTACTCCAGAGACACTTCCAAATACTGATACACCAGCGGAACTGCCATTACCAGCGAAACTCCCCTCCAAACCACACCCAGCAGTGGAAGAGGCTCTCTTTGGAAACCCATCGGCAAACAAGATGACTGCGTAGTACTCCTCGGCATGGAGGGCCTGCTGTACCACCGTGCTCCCCGGCTCCAGGGTCACTCCACTGGTGCAGGCAGTCTTTCGGGGCATAGGTGAGGGGGGAGGAGGGGAAGCGCACGCTGTCACAGCCATGATAGAGTGGGTAAGGCCCGATGTGTTACAACACTCTTTGGGTTTAAGAAAACTGAGTTTGATTCTCTCAACTGGATTTTCTCGCGCTTGCTTTGGGACTCCAGCCCTTCCCCAACCTCCTCCCGCTGACAGACGTAGTGAGAGATGTTGGCAACAACGAGTGTTTCCCCCTTTCACGGGCTAAAGTTTTGTTCCCGTGTCAGACACACAACTGGGACAACCCGATAACGTTGGGAGATGCTGTCCTCCTACTCCACTGAGAATGTTGGCAAACAGCAGAACGAGAATTCAGTTTCCAGGGAGGAAACCTGCTGTTTCAACAGGATAGCAACAGACCAGTTCACACATGAATCCCCAGACCCTCTGGGAGTCACCCTGGGTCTCACCACTGACCTGGTCACTTCCAGCTCATCCAGTGCTTGACAAAACACCCAGCTAGACGCCCTTCCAACCCCGACGAACCTCCCCAACGCCTCTCCAAGTGATCTACGATTGATGACGTGGGAAAAAAACCAACCGACCACCAGCAGAAGAAGAAACTCAGCAATAACAACCCAAAAAAACAGAAGAAGAGCTGAGAGTAAATTCCGACTAGCCTCAGTCAGTTTCTAGGAGTACCAGTGGAAGTAAACCCTTAAACCGCGTCTGTAGTTTGGTAAGGCACTACGAGGGAATGATGTAAAACTAAGACTGTGACAGTTGTAATGGCTGTGCCGAGGAACACACCACAGAGAGAAGGCAGCGTCTGCACGCACACACGCACACACACACCTGGACAATCACATTTGTTACATGCCTATGTTATATCACTTTTCTTTGTGCAATCACATTGAGGAATAGTCTATTGGTATCGTTGAAGTTCAACACAAAATAGTAAAAAGGGCGTACGACCTGTATAGTGCTACATTCTACCGGGGGCGGGGTTTGGGGGGCAGCTAAAATGTCTCCTTCTATACTAAAACGGCTAGGGATTGAAAAGGAAAATTTCCAAATAAAATAAAATGAAATGCAACCGAAACCCAACATACATTATTAGAGATCTCATTTAGGAATAGCATTTCTCAGGGATTTATCCAGTGTGTTCAAGGAAAGGGAGAAACACTCCCATTGCTTCCGCTCTCGACCAGTGCTGCATGGCCTGTTTTGCCCACGTGTATTTAAGCACAGTGGTGCTAGATCTGAATTCAGAGCACTGGGACAACACTTTCTCCTCCTCCCTCAGCCTCCCTTACCCGCTTTCTATTTCCAGAAAAAATCCCCAAAACCTTATGTGTGCTTTGGGATACAGTGACCACTGCAAAGACGGGGCAGAAACCCTTTGAAATGCTGGATAAATCCCTAATCCACACGTCTACTGGATTAAAAACCTAATGGATTTCATTTTAGGTGTTCTGGACAACAAATTTCTAAATGTAGCTCACTATTGGATGAAAATAACCTTTAAAAGTCTATTGGTGAAGTTCTTCGAAAGACAGGACCTGCTGGAGGGTCCTTCTGCTTCTCTCTCTCTAGTTTGGTGCAGAATGGTTGTGTTTTTGTGGTTCATTTTTTTTTTTTTCTGTTCTTTTTTTCCATTTTCTTTTTTTTTTTTAAATAAAAAGCGTAGAATCGGTTCTCCCCCTTCTTTCCTCTTATTCATTTCTTCCTGAAAGTCTCCTTCGTTCAAGTTTCACGCGAGCCTCCCATTGCATTGTTAGTTTGTCACCTTCTTCAGTACAAAAGCGGCTGCCTCGCTCCCCTGGGACGGGTGCGTCTTGCACTCCTTGTTCCAGTGTTTAGATGTACGGGTACTGGTTGACCTTGGTGGGGCTCAGCGGGTATCCAGTGTAGACTGTGGAGGCTGGAGAAGCACTGATATAGGTCTGATGGGCAAACTGAGCCTGGTACTGACTCGGGTGGATGGTGGGCGAGGGCAGAACGCGTGGGCCCATGCTGACGGGGACCTGGTGGACGATGCTGGCGGGGTAGGTGGTGTGCTGCACGGCGTGCCGCGCTGACCCTTGGGAGGCCACCAGGTGCGCGACGGTGCCTGTGGAGCCCAGGGCGGCCGGGGCGGTGTAGGTGTAGAGGTGGGGTTGGGTGGGCAGGTGAGCAGCAGCAGCCGCGGCCAAGTGAGGATGAACCGTACCGTGGCTGGGGCTATTAAAGAGTACGGGGCCTGAGCTATCGTTGGAGTGATGTTTGCTTGCTGTCTCCGGTGACTCCCTGCGCGATCAGTCGTGATGTGCTGCTGGGCCTGGATAAAGACAGCAACAGTGATAAGCGGTTACAAGAGACTGCTCTCCACCTCCACGGCGGTGTCTGGCAGCCTCCCTGCGACACCAGGATGGCCTCAGGAAAGTCCCTCACACTCCTCCTGACACCCCTAGCACCACCACAGTCTTCCCTTGGACATGGGTGATGACAAAGGGATCCCCCCAAGCCTAGGAAGACCCTGTAGTTTCACACATTCACCAGAATGGCCCCCAAAAGGACAAGGGAGTCCCCTGCTTTGAGCCACGACCTGCTGTCACAGCTAAGGTGAAGGCCCAGCCTTGGATGCCCGGCTCCTAAGAACATCTTCCACAAGACCAGTCGTTTGCACAACACACGGCTTTTGTTAGTGACAAAACTAACAAACATCATCTCCGCTGATGAAACGTGGTGTGCTGATAGCTCAGGGGAATGAAGTTGCCTAAATATGCCTGGAACAGGCAATTTATTTTTGCTCAGTTTGGGTCTTTGCGGTTATCATTTCCCCGGTTAGTAAAATAACTACTTTATTTTTTACAGATAAAACCCTCAGCTCGATCAGATCCTGCAGGTGCCTGGTACCCTCGTGTAAACAGCTATGATTACTGGAGCACAGGCAATTTCTTGCAGTGGCACCGGAGCAACGTACCTTTTCAGGGATTTTCTAAGAGTTTTTTTGGACTGCACAATAATGCCATGGAGTTTTCCCGGTCATTTGTAGTCAGAGTATTAAATAACCAATAAAGTAGGAATTAGAAGGCAGGAAGGGCAATGCTCTGTGTTACTTCCTTCTATCCTTCCTAGCCTTCTCATCCTCCTCGTAAGCACTCCCTGTGCTGCTGTCATGGTCTAAAACGCAGCAGACGCGCTCCTCCCCAGCTCTTGTGAACAGCATCTCGCCCACTTCCTCCATCTTCACTGACTTTCCAAGTTTAATTTTTCAAACATCAACTACATTTTGAGGGGGAGGGGACAGTCTTCTCCCCCATATTATTTTTTTGTAAAACCCAGTTCTGCTTATATCCAGCATTGGATACAAACCAGCGTTGTCCTCTGAGCTCTCCAGACTTTCTCCCCTTGGCACGCTGGTAAGTGTGTTGTAACTTCCCTACTTTCCTCACCTCACCTCGGGGAAGAGAGAGGCCCCAGGGGTGGTAGATACAAAGGCCATTGTTTACTGAAGCTCCCCAGGAGCCCCTGGGCATTTTGATCACAGACTCTGAAACATCTCGAGAAACACCTGCGGCCAAGTAACGGGATTTGCCCACATCTCAGCCCAGGTTTATCACGGGACAGATCAAGCTCATTACATGAGGTCACATCTGCTTTGCCTTGTCACATCTGACAGGGACTCCCCTCCCAATCCCGCAGCCGGGCTGACGCGCTCCCTTCGCTTGGAAGATACTTTCCACACAGTTACCTATGGGTAAGGAAAATTCAGTCCTTCCCCCGTGGTCCTGCTCCACTCCTTTGCGTCTGAGCCACTGCACCTTCTCTCTCACATTACTCCCATGGTCCCACTGCTGGATCATCTGGTTTCAAAACGCATGGTAAGAGTACCGCCAGCCCACTCAGGGGTGCGATCTGCACTACCTCGACTGCCCGAGTTGGAAGATGAAGGTCTGCAGTGAAGCTGAAACAAGTTGATCAAACTCGACACGGGGCCCAACTATCATTAGCTGGAACAGGACAGCCCATGCTGGAGGAGGTGCCACCAAAATTCGTCTCAGTTGACTTACCTGACTTAGATTAAGAGGCTGCTGCTGCTGGAAATGTGCTCCTGGTCGCTGCTGCCTATAGGCAACGGCTCCAGACGAGCTCCCTGAAGAGTGACCGCTGGTGGAGGTCACGGTGCTGGAGGACTTGGACTTGTAGGAGGATGAGTGGTGACTGGTGGTGACTGTGCCAGGAAAGGAAACACATTTGTAGCTTACATCACATTCTTTAATTGCTCACCCTACCTTTTCCTCACCGAATCTCCTCCAGAGTGGCTTTTGGGAGGAGACATACAACAGAAGCAAGGATAAGAAAATAGTTTCTCTTAATTAACAGAATACCTCATCAGTGCTTCACACACAGGGCCAGCCTGCTGTTCTGGAGGCAGACAAGCAGACCCAATACCTGGACCCAAACCGGGCCTGGAGAAGGCTTTATAGATCCTTCAGAAGTGTGAGAAACTGTTCTGCCAGCAGAACTGTATGATGCAGGTACAAACCCCAAGGAGAGGAAGGAAAGTTCAGTGTGCACAGCACAAAAAAGCCCTGGCTTGGCTGACCTCACGGCGAGTAGGAAGCGAGGGAGAAGGAGCTAGTGGGGAGCTCACCTACCGAGCCTTTGTGTTCACCAGCAGTGCGTCAAAAGAGAGGACTGCCAAGGAGCTCAAAGCCAATTGCTTCAGGCCAGACTTCCACCATAAGCCCCTTTTCAAGACATTGTACTACCTAGCATTGCGGAGGCTCTGGATGAGCAAACCTCATCAGTCCATGATGAAGATTCTGGGGAAGTGTTCTTCCCAGAAACGTCAACAAGTTTGGATGAAAATGCACATGTGTTTTCAATCTCTTACCCGTTTCAAAGCAAACCTACGGAAAGGCAAGGCAGCAAAGGTTCACACTTGCATTTGGGAGCCTTTCATGTCAAATGTTGAGCTAAAGGCTGCATTCTGTTCTTGGGTTTGTACAGAAGTAACTGGGACTGAGACTTGCCCCCGTGACTCCTGAGTGTACCAGGGCACGTAAATAATGCAATATGGCTCCCAAGAACAGATGTGTCACTTGAGAGCAGGGCAGGAGCATGGTTTCTTTGGAAAACAAAACAAACAAACAAACAAAATGAAACCGAACAATGAGATTCTTCCAAGATAAATCATTTATTTCTTACTAATTTTCTTGACTGAAGAGGTGCAATTTACCTGGTGCCAGGCTATCGCACTCTACCAACACCTCACTGGCCTGGGTTTTCAGTGGCGGCACGATTATCGTTCGGGGATTCCCACTGCAGTGAGTCTCTGGAACCCCTTTGGTGTCGTAGGTGTTCCCATTATTCTGCGCAGCACGATGCTGCACGGCATAAGGACTGTTGTTGCTGGAGGAATCGGAGTAGGGGGAGTCATGCACAGTGACACAGCTGATGACGTTCTTCCTTTGCCCCAAGCAGCAAAGCGGAAAGATTGAATGGGCAAGGAGCGACTCAGAAGCCACCAGAAGACTCTGCCCACGGCAGGCTCGCTCCATAAAGGCAACGCACACCCTCCGGTCCTCCGCTACACAGAGCCTGCCGAAGCCAAATCCCCGGCTTCGAAACTCACTCGTTGCTATTCCAGGACAGCCTCCATGGAGGTCAGGGAGTGAGTAAGACACTGTGGATAGGTCTTACATTCACTCTGCTTAGAATAGCACTGAACCAGACTGCCAGATTTATTTTCAGACTGCTTTTTATGTATGTGTGCAGTAGAAGCCCAGCAGTTATACTATGCTTTGTTGCAAGTCTCACCGCCCACACAAAAAAGTGGCGGTTTCTCCCAGCCTCCCAGCAATGATTTAATAATAGAAGCTATGACTTTTCATGATTAAATCCCATGAATCTACAAAATACACTCTGTTCTATTTACTAATATGGTACACTGGGCACATATTCTCAATAAGCATTTGAAACTGAGGAACGAATGAATCAAAAATGAGCGAAGTATGTAAATCTTTTGGTTTTCTTTTCTTTCTCTGAATATAAGCACTGGGTCTCCTGACTCTAGCATGGATTATCAAGGTCCTGCTGCAGCTAATCTATCTATGACATCAAAAAAGTGATTAAAAAGGAACATCAACACTTCCAAGATTAGTGCTAGAAGTTCATTAGACTAGACTGCATGAGTACGATTGGGATTTTCTCCGCTGTTGTGTCTAATTATTCCTGATGGTTTCTCCTTCCTGTTATGAGCTTGTTTAGGGAGAAAAAGAGAGCGAGAAAGGAAGGGGGATGGTGAAGATTTGCTTAAATGGCTCACATCCTTGATAGTGCACAGACCTTGACTACAGAAAATCGCTGCTGTGTTTCTCTGATTGCATTATGTTGTTATGGCAACTGAAGTTTTTAAAATGATGAAAAGAAATGGATATCACATAAAAAGCTAAGTAATTAGGCTTAATGGTGGAACGGCCCCAACAGGAACAGAAACGCCACGGAGAAAAATGAGTCCATCTCTTAACTTCTTGAGTGCACACTCTAAAGAGAGCGAGATCCCTTTGCCGTGGAGTCTCCCCTCCGTTCTCTCACTCTGGCCAGCCCGGTCCAGCCAACAGCTGGTTCATCCGGCCTCAGGCTGCGATGGAGCCATTTGTTCCCTAGTCTCAGCATTGCTTCTCAGCCAGGGAAAGGTGGAACAGATACTGAGAACAGTTTCCTTCCGAAGACATTGTTTGCCTTGTTTATTTTTCCCAGTGCTAAAGGACCACTGGTGGGTTCGCTTCTACTTGTCCGCCTCAAGGCCTCTCCATCAGCACTCACAAGCTGCAGCTCACCACCTCACTCCCAAGACCTGGAACTGAAAAGCTATCATCTGCTCCACTAAAGAACGTCTTGGGGTGCTCCATTCACAGACAAGTTGCCGTCGCACAGCCTTTCCCCGGGCTACCATCACAGGATCCTGGTGTGCCCTGAAGAGGACACAAGACCATGTTGTCCTACGCACAGCGAAAAACAAGTGTCATGAGGCCCCTGCCATCCAAAAGCATTCATCATAGAATCATTAAGGTTGGAAAAGATCTCCAAGATCATCAAGTCCAACCGTCACTGAAACAGGGCAGATGACAGAAGGAGGGGAAGCTATTCGGGAAGCTGAAAGCAATCCCCGCAGGGGCAGGGATCTTTTCGACGGGGACGGTGTACGACAACAAAACCCTCGTATTCTGGCTTTCTACAAGGAGCTGGAGAGCGTTGGATTAGAAACGGAAAGAGCAACAGAGTATCTCAGACGGACAACTACTGTATGTGAAGAAAGGTGTAGCAGTTTGGATATGGTGCTAAGAAAGAAGAATATTAAGCCAATAAAAATGACGAATATTGCACCAATATTCCTCTCCTTCAGTAGAAATGCCTGTAATCGCACATTTATGAGTATCCACACTGCTTGCCCTTTGCAGCTACCCTTGGCTGCCAGTTGGGAAGAGATATATATTCTCTGCCTCTGACAGTTATTACATTTTATGAAGAAAAATCAAGTCACTAAAGAGTTTTCTGACAACTGATAAGGTCTACCTAATCTTTTACAGTCCCTTCCTTACATAAGCGGCTGAGCTGCTGAACTGGAAATACTTGCTCTCGTCTGACACTTGACACGGGAAGGCTGAGCAGTAGAACTGGAAAGGTATTTTTCTGTGTAATCTGTGCTATTTATTGTTTTAGAAAGGGCGTATTTTTCACCAGTTTGATCTAGGGCTTGTCAAAGCAGGGACCACGAGGAGTCTGCTCCTTCAAAGTGTTACAGCTCTTCGGTTACAATAGGAAAATCAAATAGGTCTGTTTGGTTAAACAAGTGATCCCAAACCCAAACCTTTCCAGGGCAAGGGACCACAGCAGGATATTCAGCTCATTTCACGGATGGGAAACTGAAAAGGACCGGAGCTAGAGTCCTGCCAGGCCTTACACAAGTGCTCAGCCCTACTAATGTGTGTCATCCGCCAAAGTCAGCTGGAGTATTCCAGTACCAGAGCTAAAGCACATGGGTAAACATTTGCAGGATTAGGGCCCAAGCGATTAACCTCTCGATTCAGCAGGCTGCATCGCTTCACCCGCACGAGGAGTCCCATCGAAAGCAGCTGGGTTTTCCTAACGACTGCTGTTAATGTCAGAGCAGGCAGAGAAGTCAGTCGGGACGATTCACACGCCCAGAGCTTGGCACCTGCTGTACCACAGCCTGCCTGAGAGATTAAGGGTGGGAACTTCAAAAGCATCAAAAGCTCAACTCACACTGAAAATCACTTGATTGACAGGCTTACAGACACACGTTCAGCCGAAAGGAGAGCTTTTGAAAATTCAACCCAGAAGAGCTGGTGCTCCCCCTTCTCAAAGCCTTCTTGCTCGCCAGCAACTGTCCTCCTCCCAGCTCCCTCCGAGGACTCGGCGGCTCTCACCACCTCCCCGTAACGCGGGAGTCA